AATGGGATTAAGGTTTCCATCGAAAGTAAAAGCAGACCTTCATCATTGATTTAGAACAAGAGGAATAAGTTAAGAAGTCGGCGCAGCAATTATTGATTTTCGTTATTTCTTTATAGGTTTGCCATAAAAATAATTTATTGTTGAAAACGTTACAGTTAAACAAAATTTTTGAAACTCAAAGTTCGCGTTTTTTACATAGTCATTCAGGACGTTTTACTAACAACATCGAAAGTCAGAGTTCATTCATCCGAAATATTACTAATTAATCTCATTCAACCTCTGCTTTTTGCTGTCTATTTTCGAGCACCAAAGATTTTCTGCTCGAGGAAAATTTGCGGTTTTTGCAGTTTTTACGCGCGCTCGCCTCCTCTTTCCTGCAATCCATGCATGTTTTTCAACTCAGTGCACATTTCAAAAAATACACCCCATGCATGTGAAAACCCCAAGAACACCGTAAGCGCCCTCAATTGTCAATAGCGCAGTACGAGCGTATCAAAAATGGCATTCATTTGACAGTTGTGCATAAAAAATGAAGGACTAGAGCACAGCATAGCATGGCAGAGAGAGGAATGGAGTAGTGAGAGACGTGGACAGTTGCTTTCATTTGCGATTTTTAGATTAATGGAAAAATGCAATTAGGTCGACAATGATCGATAAAATGCATGTAATTATGTGTGTATACGCAGAGAAGTCATTATCATTCATTTTTTACTGTATCCCGCAAAATGACTGGCGAATTCTGAAGCATTTTCATTTCAAACGCGTAACCGCAGTTTTCTGCCATCTGAGTGACATGGCACGTTTTCCGATGCAAGCGATTTTGGCTAATAATGCCAGTGCATAATTTGATTGAATCCTTTGCATTGATAAAATCGACGATGATTTTACGCTTGGGTAAATGTTCAGATTTAATGAAAATGTGAGTAATTTTGATTTTTCCAACATTTAAATTCACCGAGAATTTTTATTACTAACGGTAGAAAAAGTTACTTGCATTACATGTTCAAAATATAATAATATAATGAAGCAAGGAAGAACCAAGTTCGACTGAGGGAAAAATGTTTTCTAGTGGGGCAAAGCCTTATATGGAGAATGAACGGCGTTATCATTCGAATTCACAAGATTGCTATCTCAGCGTTGTAACAAACTGGGCGATCGAAAGTGGTCTCGCCATCAACCCCAGTAAGACCGAAATGCTTTTATTGACTAGAAGATATAAAATCCCATGGCACCGCTGCCGCTAATGGGACGTATTCGACCAAAACCGGCGGATACTGTGAAATATCTAGGGCTTATCCTGGATAGGAAGCTTTCATGGAAGTCGATAGAGAGGAAAAAAAGGCATCGATTGCCCTATACTGCTGTAGAGGAGCCATTTGGAAAGAGATGGGGCCCCTCACCATAGTCAAGACCATTATGTTTTATTGAGTTTTGATGTGGTAAAGGTCGTCAGAGAAGACCACACTTGGACGTACCCGAAAGATGTATGTCCGCGAAGGTGGCTATTAGAGTAGAGAATCTGGGTTCTTAAAATAACGCGTATCTGAACACTCGGATATCCTCACACACTTTTACTGCGTACCGGATCATCTGGATCATGGAGTCGCCAAACCGAACTCTGCCGTCTCCTTCTCTGTCCATATACCGACGAGGGAGCTATGGGTGGGAAGAAGCCGTTGAAGGAGAGGATGTGAAAATTTCACTACAACAGGGCTCTAATTCGAAGGATCCACAACACATTTATCTAGGTAAAACTTTTCCTAAAAAAAATACGATATGACAAAATTGGAATTATCTGCCATGAAATTATCATCTTGTCTGCTAAGGATAGAAATACTACTGTGACACACAATTACATTAAAATCCAATCCACACTCATTTACTTAATGCACACTGCCGCCGAAAAATGATACTTTGAAACGGAAAAGCGGCCAGAATTTACATATTTTGCTCTCTCACACATCAAAATATTTTCCCAACAAATCATTGGAATTTGCATAGAAAAGCCATAAATTCCCTATTGCACTAATAATGCCAAATGAATGAAAGTTGCCGAGCGAAATCGAAATACTCGAGGCAATCTTACAAGGCTAAATTGCAAATTATGGAAAACGCTGCACCCTTCCTAGGTGACATTCAAGAAAATCTGCAATCATAAATTCGAAAGTAGCATTAATTGAATTTGCAAAATTAGCCGATATTATGGTGTGACGAGGCCGTCTAATCCATGCGAACAAATGTGTTGCAAAAACTTTGATATGAACAAAACTAATTCGCTGTCGATTTACGAGTAAAAGACAAATTGCATGAATATTAATTAAAGGTACACTATAAGCAAAAGGATGAGAGGCTGCACCGATTTCGCACCACAGCCGAGCGCTACCACCCTTGCACGCCCATTTGCAGATAGTGTACATTACAACAAAAACAGCAGCTATGATCAGTGAGAAAAATCAAATTTCACAAATTTTCGCATATTTAATCAGTTGGTAATTTGAACAAATCGCTTGGACGGCCTGCAAACATGCGTTGCGCCTTGATGTGTGCCGCAATTACGGGCAATTTATTGGTAATTTCAGAGCTCGCTGCGCATTTGGCAACTGAAATTTGTCAGGCTTTGCGAAATGTATCGATTACACTGCGGCAGCGAAAGGGTTCTAGTTGCTTGACGCTGTTGTTGTTGTTGATATTTTTTTTTTTTCAAATTTATGCTTAGACGTGCATTCAAGTGTGTGCAAGTCTAGAAATTGCACTCTAGTGCATGTAAGAGATGTGTGGCGTGACGAATGTGGGTTGGATTTCAATTTGCCAGTTCTGCTCTGCCGCTTTGACTGAGAAAATGTGAGCGCAATATTGCGAATTTTGACTGACAGTTGAATTGCTTAACCTACACTCATATATTTAAATGTATATAAAAGTAGTTTTTACGCATGTATTTGAGTAACTGCCATTTAACTGTTTTTCGTGCTTTCATTTTGCGGTTGTTGAAAGGCCGTAAGACAGAAAAAAAATTTGCAAATAGTTCAAAGAGCTAGGATTATTTCCCAAAGAAATCATTTTCAACTCTCTTTGTATGCTGAAGATCGCTCAACTGCGCATCTCTAACGCTTTCCTTTAATATATTTTACATTTCGACTTAATGGCGCATTTATTGCACTCCAGTTACCCAAGGCATTCAAATTGTTATGAAATATTTGACATGTGTCACATAAAAACTCGCATAAATTGCCTGGAGGTGAATGAAGTTGAACGCGCGTGCTTCGGCGTCTGCGCAGTTCAACACAACGTAGATATAGAGCAGGAAACGCAGGGCTAAAGCCAACAATTTTTTAATGCTAACAAACAAAAGAAGATAAGAAGGATTTACAAGCACAATAGCTTGACACACCTACACATTAGCTGCAATAGACACCAGTGTGTCACTGATATCCTCCCATCTGTGAAGAAAATGAAAATGTGAAAGGTATGTGCACGAAAGGCAATGGCATCTGGTCAAATATTTAATCGGCACATGCAAAGTGGTCAAAGCGAATGGACACGATGCGCGCCGTTGATGAGCAGGACAGTGGTTGTGCAATATGCTCGGCTACTGGTAGCGTTTATGAGCGTCTATGAAAAACAATATTAACAAAAAGAAAGTAAGGCATTCTGCACGCCGTACAATTTTTCGTTGCGAAAATCTGTAGGCTGCTGCCATAGGAGGGCAGCTGCTGCATTTTTCATGCGCCAAAGAAGTGCAAGCAAAAGAAAGTAGAGTAGCAGTAAATTTGGCAAAGAAACGGGAGAAAATACAAGAAAAAGTTGTCCATTATCTGTAATATTTATTTAGGAATACGTGTGTGTGTGTTCGCCTATTCATGTGGTCTCATCGATTTAGTTTGGCTGCCAGAATGCTGGAGTCACTGCCATGCCATTTTTCATGTTGCACTATCAATGAAAGCCAGAAAGACAGGAGAACAAGAAAAAATAAACTGTCACGAATCGGGAACAAGCGCAACGGATCAGCGTAGCTTCTGTCAGGGAACAAATAGTGACTGACTGACTGAGGAAATGCGACGTTTTACGTATAACTGTGCACGGTATCGGCTACAAAACACTCTAGTAGCCGGCGTATGAGAAACGTGGAGAAAACACGAACCGAGTTCTATATAGCCTTCGGCGATTCTTAATGTTATCAGATTAAACAACAAATAAAATATTTTATTCGCTTGCCATAACAAAACAAACAACTTAACAAAAGTCAGGAAAAGAGCTTAGACTAACTAAGGTGCTGAAATGATGAAATATATAAAGTCAGCCTTAGCATAGTGACCAATTTTGAGAACCTGAGGAGAAGTCGATTTATCAAGACTTCTTGCTGGTTCTGGCATTGACTTGGAACAAAGAAAACTGGCAATAAAATTAAAAAAAATTGGCTCCTTGGAAAAAGGTAATGCAAATCCGAAAAGATGCATACCTTACTCGCTTATCAGCTAACAGCATTTAAATGTTAGTTTAGCTATCTTCTGTTTTTAAATATTTTATTTACATCGGCATCCAAGGATCTTAAGACTTTATACTCCAAAATTCAACATTTTCCAGACAGAAAAAACTAAACCTATCCTTAATACGAAAACACGCAACACCCCACAGCATATGCAATAACCAGTAAAAAATCACAGTCACTGCGTTTCTATTGGTTAATCGCCCAGGTGCAATTGTCTCAAAATATCTCTTTCCGGTTAGGAAGAGCACACAGCGCATGAACACGCGCGCTCTTCATTCACGCTCAGACTGGGAGACGTCACGAGAGCTGTCAGCTACCGACAATTGTCGACTCGTGGCAATGGTGTTGTCGTTTGATCCTTATCTGTGCGACTCTCTTCAGGCGGTGAGCAACCACCAACTGTGCCGAGAGCAACCAAACCGACAGCCGACCGTTGGCTGATGAATCGCACAGTGTAGTGCGCACGTGTCACCGCATGACAGGATCATTCGAGTTTCTTAACTCAGACGCAACAGACGTGCCTAAACATTATCGGCTGTGCAGAAATATTTAATTTACAATTTTTTTTGAACTTGCATGTGTTAATAAAACCAAAATTTTGTGATTCGTATTCGACTTGGAAATTTTGAATTCGTATATAATATATATATCCACTAAAGTTAAGTGCTAAACAGAAATTGTTGTTTTGGTGAAAATTTTAAAATTCATCTTGTGTATCGCTATGGATTTGCAACGTACGTGACAACGCAGCTAGCAAAAGCCACAGGTGAGTGAGTGCAGTTATTCGCAGCCGCAGCTGAAAAAGTAGACATGAGCATACCATTTAAAAAAAATTTATTTATTTAATTGCAACGACCGTTGCTGCAATAAGCGCCAAAATAATTTACATTTGCTCGTGGCATGTAAATCCCAAAAAACACGCACACACAACTTCATCGAAGAAAGAAAGACCATATACAGAATGGTTTCGTCCCGTGTTCCGAAACGCCTCAGGCAAAGAACTTCTAACATAAAATAAAAATAAAAAGAATCCCACCCAAGGAAATAATTCGTCTTAATCGATTTTTTCGCTCGCACTATTCCGGTTCTTCCACCAATCAGCAGTTGCTAAGGCTGTTTTGGTTTTGCCGCTTCTTATTCTTCCTTTCCTTATATCACTTTGGCAACCTTCAGCATGCGCATTCCCCTTCTCGATCATGCCGCTCTTTACCTCATCATTTGTCCTAGCAACTGCACTAGTTCTAATTTTAATTTATCTAATTTCCCACCCCTCTTCAGCAGCCTTGCTGCCAATTTCGCCGAATGCCAGGGTAAACACCTTTGGAGTAAGCCTGCGCCCTAAGCACTGTTGATTGCCTCTCGCCATCCCTCAATGCATAACGTGCCCACCGCTGACGTCTTCAAGTCTGCTGGGTAAAAGAATTTTTCCTGATCAACTATCAGCTGTAGGACAGTATTACCGGCAGTTGTATAACAGTATGTGCCAAAGATTTTTTTCTATTCTGGGGTTGACGTGTATGGATTACACCAGATATGCCATTCTCTTCATACACATACGTGCGCATGTTCATAGATACATTCAAACATGTTGAATCTTTTTCATTTTCAAATAGTTGTTGATCTACATTCATAGCCGCATTCTCATTCTCAATCCAGCCTGCTAGCATTTCGTTCGACCTCATCTGTCGATCCAGCTAATCTTCTGCCCTTTCTTCTGCATGCACACCTTTTCTTTTTGCTTGGCTGTGGACTTCATTTCAGTCGATCTTTGTACGATCGGCCGTAAGCCAATTTGTCTAAAAGTGCGTGGCCAAATGGGTCGGCTGATGTTAGGGCTGCCCTGATTATGCCAAGCTGCACTCACGACAGCAGTCTTTACCCAGGGTGAGAGTAATCCCTAAATTTTGTTTTTGTTACGGCACACATTTCCCATTTTCAGTTTTTTGTTCGCCAAGCCTGAATATTAAACTTTCCTTGTTTGGCTAAGTGAGTTTTCAGCTTAAGGAGGATGTCTCAAATGTCACCTTTCCCTGCAGACGTGCAGACGATGCAATTTGTTGCAGCCGAGGTCGCGTGATTAGATGAGGCAAGCACGCTACTTACGCGCCTTTGCGGTTTTCAAAATTTTGCATAGACTTGTGGTCTGGTCTACCGATTATGAATTATGAAAATAATGAGCACCAGAATAATAATAATACAAGATAGAAATATAGGATAGTTAAAACTGAATTTTTCGAATTGACTCGAAGGAAAGAAAATTATGTAAACCGAAGTCTTGCGAACGTACCGAAAATTAGTATTTTACTCCTCTATGTCTTTAGGCGAGCCCCGTGTGAATTTCGCGCAGCGACGTTCATGCCGACATTCCATCCATGCTCAGTTTTTTCTACGTATACATTTCATTTACATGAAATAGCAGTAAATCAATCGCATTTTCGGTAAGCAGCTTCTTAAGCAAGCTCTTTCACCACTCAATAGGAGCTCGTCGCTAAATATGTTCCTTGCAAACTTCCTGCCCAAACATACACATTATTTCGCGTAAATGTCTGCCAGTCCTTTGTGCGTCCATTCAATGTGCTGTCCCAAGCGGCGGCAGTCAGTGTGTTGGCCGCTCATATGGCTGGCTGTTTTGGTCTGCCTGGCGCTGAACAATGTCAGGAGAGCACTTAATAAACACCCAGAATGGCTTTCGCATAACACTCGCAACACGCTTTTTACTTTAGCACACAATAAAGTTAAATTAAAATATGAGAAAAAATTCGTGTATGGCAATTTGGGAGGGAATAATAAGAAAGACAGTATACCGAATGAATATAAAAGCCAAACAAAGGCGTGCATTTCGCTAACATACATACATACACAACATTTCAAAAGTCCATGCAGCTTATGGTAAATGAGCTCAAGCTGAATATGTGGTTCTCCAAAGGGTTTGCCTGCCGCTTCGAAGGCAGTAATAAACTTCACTGGCATGCACACTAATATTTAAGCATTCTTACTAGAAAGAAATCGAAATCGAAAAGGCAATTGGAAGTCAAAATCGGCAACGACAAATCATAACGGAATACTTTTCTGTCTAAGTATTTTTACACAGAAGCTTCAACACAAGTATAACACGATCTCATACGAGCTACCGCATGAACTCCAAACTAATTAAATGTCACATTATTGGAATGAATCGCACAACCATTGCGGCAGATAAAAACCAGAAAAGCGACAAATTCGTTGCAAAAGTAAAGAAAAAAAGATAATAAAGGAAAGGACTGCGGCGACTTGAAATGGGCAGAAGGACACTGTGTTGAATGGCAATAAATGCATTAAATAGCCGCATACAAGCCAAAAAATGGCAGAGACAATATCATAAAAGTGCATGTACGCTCCAGCAGCTCCTCGGCTTCAGTTGTTTCGCTGGCAACGGACGATTGTATTTGCGGTGAGCGCGGATTGCATTTGCGCGCGTACACAACCCTAAAAGCTTCAGCCGCAAGGATCCCCAAGACAAGCACACACTTATACCGCAGTCACCAGCTCGAAGGATCGTTACAAAAAGAAAACAAAAAGAGATATAAAAGTAGAATTGAAAAGACATTAAAAATAATAGCAAAGCAGGCCCTACATTTTGCAATTGGCACAATAACGGGTTCTAGAAAAAAATTACAAAAGCTCTGAAGTGAACCGCGTCGTGTCTCTAAGCGGCGCCTGGGCAGTGAGCACGCTGTAGACCAACGCTAAGGAACATAGCTTATATGCATGTAGGCAACGGATTTTCGCCAATTTCTATTATGATTTTTTCTTATCGCCCGACCCTTTTTCTGTCATTGGCTGCTTTTCTGTATTTATTTGCCAAAGAAACAAATTTAGCTTTGGCAATTTGCTATCTCTGTGTAGTTTCATGTGCGCGTCTTTTTACCCCTTTGTCGATAGTAAATCATACAAATTACCAGTTTCCAGCGATAAACTGGATTTTTATTAGCAACAAACGAATTGTTTCAGATTTGCAATTTTTGCAACTTTTCTGCGTAAAATCGAAATTTGTAGATGATGCGGACAGCACAACGCACACAGGGACACACGGGAATATGAACACGAAATTAATACTATTACGCATACTAGACATAGAAGAAGCAGGAAAAAGTAATGGTGGCAAATTCCGCGTACTGAAAGGATATTATTAAAAATAATAATAATAAATAAATTTGAAAGTGTTATTTTCATTTACATTTTGCACGCGCCTTTTCAACATAAATAAAAAGTAATGACAACATGTTTGTAGAAAATCATATTTTGTAACACAATTTCCACAAAGGCAAGAGCATAAATCGGTATGAAGCACCTCACAGACCGCATGCGTTTCGCTGCCTTCCCGCGATCATAGATGATTCTAGCACAAAAGCTACACAGCATGACAGCTGTCAGTCAGTAGAAACTACTTGCACATACCTTGAGTAACAACAACGTCTGGAGTACCAACAAACACGATGGGTATTCGGGCACACACACATTGCCACATGCTTACGCATATATGTAGGGAAATGAAAAACAGGAGCAATCAGAGTGTTACTTGTAACGCATTTCCCTAGCATCCTTTGTGCCGCCTTCCCTTCTCAGAGGAAAAGGTCAAATTCAGCCATGTGACAATCAAAAGTCGAAGTAGCTGAACGCATTTTTTTTTTTCATAACAGCAACAAATATGATGCGTTTAAAGAAAACAAGAAACAAGTCTTTAATTTAGCTGATTGCAAGCAATCAAAAAATCATATCGCTCTCTTTAAAGGCGCGCAAAGCATGCAATAGAGGCAGAGGATTGCAGCACGACAACCGCCAAAAACAAAAAAAAAGAATACATGTTCGCATACATAAGAACATAGCGACTCGTACGCAATTAACTTGCGTTGCATTACAACAATGGCACCGTTGCCTCCATAGTCGGCGTTGAAAGTGACAGCAATTTTCCAGCATTCAAGTGGTGAAATTCCATTGCACAGCCATATAATAAAGCAATCGTACCAAGAGAAGAAATCTGGAATAGCACACAACACATCTATCACACCTAAAGTATAGCCTATTCACGCATGGCTCTCTTCGCGTTTTCAATTGTGTTTGCTTGTGTAGGTGAAAAGGACATTCAGCCCAGGAGCGTAGGTGCCTTCTGTTTTCTTTCCCCTACTCCACCATTGAATAAAATTTTTCTGTTTAGCTCAAACAATTATCTGGATCGAAATTTGTCTGTGCGCCGTTATACTTAGAAAATCTTTCTTTTCCGTAGCTGATCATGCCATTGTTTGATATCGATTGCGCGTGAAAATCTATAGAACAGCTGCTGCGCGCAAATATTCTTTCCATGTTTCGAGCGTACTTTACTGAGGAAAAGGTTAACTGCATTTTGATAAAGCAATTTTCGAAAGTAATCAACAATCCATTAAAAGTACATCTGCATTCTTATATTATCACACAAACTAATTCAAAACTTAATCAGCAGCACCACATATAGTACATATTTATATATATGCGGACCTTATTTTAACTAACAGAATGGTTCTCCGGCTAATATGACAATGAAAAAATTTGAAAACGTTGCATTTGAGACACCTTGTGTCTAAGATATGTCTTGGCTTAGCAAATACAACAATCTTTTCCCGAAAAATGATGTTCACAATAGGGAAGTAGTATATACACGCACCCCTACATCTTATAATTTAAATTTGTTGTTAATTTGTTATAACAAAGTATGTTCGGAACTTAGTCGTTTTAAGTAAAATTAAAAAAAAAAATTTTTTGTAAATTTGTTATTACAAACTTTGTTGCATTTTTAGTAAATAATAAATCCAAATTTGTATCTGTACGTTCTAGGCTAAATATCTTTCCGTTTGTTCGCAATGCTTAAGTGGGAAAAACATCAAAACCAAAAGCCTATTCCCGTCATTTAAACTCCATACAAATCCGGCTACACTAGCATAACAAGGCCATATTTTTACACCTCACTAGCAGTGGAACCCATCAACAACATCCTCAATCACAAAACGTTTTTTAATCAATCCACACAAAGATCGATCATTGAAGTAAATAATTCCGCAAAGGAGATGCCTACTATGACGCACGTTCTCGAACGTCGACGCTTGCAACGCTACTCACTCGATAACCAACTTGAAACGCAATCACCACGTCGCGTCCGACACTCTCTTACCAGCGCGGCTAATAAAGAAAACTTTGGCGTTCATTTTACACGAAGCTCATTTGGCAATACCTCGCTCACCGCATTTCAGGACCTCAGCAATGGAAAGAGTCCTTTGCGAGTCGATTATACACCAACTCGTACACCTTTGCGTTGTCATACTCAAGGCAACGTGAATTTAAACGTTAAACGTCGCAGCGGTACCCCAACCTCGCGCAATCGTTTTTCGGACGATTTTGTCAATCCGGAGACGCAGGATACACCACTAAGTCATTTGCGCTTCCGCAGTGCTTCCCGGGACGATTCACTTTCTTCTTCGCGTATGGGCGACGTAACACTTGACCGTATGTTAGATGCGATTATTGAGAGTGCACGTAAGGATGTAAAACGTGTGCATGTGGTTCGTTCCACAGGTAGCGATCAGCAGCATGAAGTAAAAACCGCGTTAAGAAGCTCTTCGCCTGCTGTTGTTAGCGACAGTGAAATCAGCGTGCATGAAATGGAAGTGCGTACACCCACTCACCTCAAGCGCCAACGTGTTGTACGGCGTAAGAATACCAAAACCACGGAGTGCCGTCGCAAAATAGATTCAAAAGAAACGAAATTTTTTGGAAATGCGACAACGCCACCACCGCAACCGCAATCAATGATCGGTGTTCCACTAACCGACGGTGTACATAGTCCGGACACACCACTTTTTAAGCCAAGTGCCGTGACCAACGCAGAGTTGTTGACGTTGCAAACACCACCAAATTCAACAGAAATCGATACTTTCACGACTTCAACAACGGCCGGCGCAACGGCTGCAGAAGCTCAATCGCAGCAGTGCTGCTCAACACCGACGTTAGAGGAGACACATTCGATTAAACGTTGCCTCAGCTTTTCCTCGACTAGTGATGATGAATACGACGTGGATTTTACCAACGCTGCGAAACGCAGTTCTGTCGCATCATCCAATACGAGCTCTACAATGGGCGATCACTTCGGTTCGGGACATACTTCAAGACATTCTCAGGGTTCATGGAAAGCGCCCAACAGTGCTTCAGTGCGTGGCCACGTGGAACTATCTATACAAGTGGAGCAGCAACAATTAAATGTACATGGTGAGTTCCAAATTTATTGGGCTTTGGCGAAAGGGTCAAAAAATTCTATGCATTTAGTAGTTTACAAATATAATATTCAATTAATTTTTCAATTGCAGTAATACGTTGTCGCGATCTACAGCGACCCAATGGTTCAACTGCACTAAATGCCTACGTAAAGGTTGCATTGATACGTAACAAACCGGCTTCTAAAAAAATGGACAATCACTTCCAACGCACCGCTGTACACAGGCATTCGAGTCGACCGTACTTTGATCATCGCTTCAAGTTCGATTTGGGCGCGAAACCACAGATACAACAGCAAACAAAAGCTGATGGCGCTAACGAACGTCTACAGCTAGCTGTGTGGCACCGAGACCGTCAACTAAAGTGAGTACGATCGCAAAATAATGATTTTCGTATAACTCACTGGTATAAAAGTTCATTATTTTTGCTCTTTCTTAAACTTTGTTTAATCGCTGGTTAAATATGCACTCAAATGGTGATAAAAGTACGCGAGCTCTGAATTTTAAAACCGCATTGGAACTATTTATCCACAACTCGGCAGCTAAAAATCTTTTCCAAACAATGCATTTGAATATTCGGAGCTTGTAACAGACTTGTCTTGTGATTTGAATTTAACCACTGATTAAGCGACCGCACACTCTCGTCGTTACTGTGTAACGTTAGAACTGAATCTACCTTATGTAGAAGTATATCTTTGATTGCACCCGTGCTGATCTTTAGTGCTAATTGTTGTGGTTGAATCATTTACGAGCAACTTATCAATAATTAAAGATGTTGCCGCCCGGACGATAAGGCTTTGAGACCGCGTTCTCACTACACTTTGAAGCTAATTAAAAATATGACAGGTTACCTGCGTTACGCGCAACAAAGATAGAATGAAAGAGCTAAAAATGAGTGTCAACGATAGTACGAGTCATACAGGAACCATTCAAGTACATACTGATCCACACACACAATATATGTATGCATGTAATGTGTAACGAAATTTAGGCGCAGGTTGGATGGCAAAGAATAGCAACAAAGCTTATCACATGCAATTCACTTTCAGTTAAGAGTTTTGTTTGTGTTCGGCAGACGCACGAAAGTTGTTAGAACTAATTAAGCTTATTAAATATTCACTTTGAGGTGATGTTAAAATTGTCGCCACACATTAGCAGTCCCCAAATTGTCAATTATTTTTATATGTTGTGGCATGCTTTTAAAAATTAGATTCTTGTGAATTTATTAATTCTTCAAAATAAATTTCAAGTCGCATTCTGCGCGCTTTTATTATTTTTTTAATTTCCGGTATTTCACACCTTTCTTCTCCTCAGTTGAGTACTATTCTAACAACCGCTGGCAACGACGCCATTAATTGACTTTGAAAAGGAAATGTTTTGGTAGATGCATGAGTAGATTGGACGGTCAGTGCAATACTGCACGAGATTTGTATATTTCCAACGAAATTTGGGGTAAACAAAGTAGGAAGACCTTGTTGAACATCTCATTTATTTGCTTGAACTCTTGCCTGCTCATCTGTGAGAATATAGTTTGGGAATATTGAGCAGTTTTGCACATGCGTCGTACATTGCAAGCGATAGAGAATGAGCACCCAAGCTTGTGAGAAAAGTGAAGAAAATTTAAGAAAAGTAAGAAAAATAATGTAAAGTGAGTTTATCTTTTGGCATGTGACGCAAAGTTGGTAACAGCTGTTCCAAGTGAAGTTTGTCAAGCAATGTGGCTTCACTTCAGCAGTCTTTTGGTAAATGTGCTTTATGAAATTTTCGTAAAAACTTAAGTCGAAAATGAGAAAAATTAATTTAAATTATTAAAACTTTTTAAACACATATTATTTTACTTTTTTATTATTATTCAAACCAAATGTTTTTGTTCCGACTTTCTACATACTAAATGTCAAACCACTCAAATCTTACAACCTATCTACACACTATGTGCGCAAATACTTCGTCTTAAGCTTTCAGGCATGTAAACAAATCATCGGCTGCCGGCAAAATGTCGCGATTTCACGTGCACCCACCACTTGTCAGCGTGAATGTATCGGCATGTGAGCTAATATCCACAAATCAGCCGATTACTTAAGCTTTCGCGTGCGCTCTCGCAAACGCTCTAAACGCTCATTGTGTGCTTACGCGCGCCTAGTTTCATTTTCATGCCCTTAAAAAATTTCTGGGCGAAATTTTCCAAGCAGAAGCTCGACATAGCTCAGTTTGTCTTTTCTACTGGTGGTGTTTAAACGAAAACTCGGAAATCTGAACGTTAAATAACCGCTCCACAAGGTGCTTTTAATAGCCTAGACTCAGTTCACTGAAGCAACTTTTGCAAACAGTACATTGAAAAAAGTAAAGAAAAAACGAAAATCAGCTAATTATGTGTTTTGAGAAAAATTTCGCTATTCTAATGCTAGAGAAGTTTTTTTTCCGCAAACCAGTGTTCTATTATAAAGTATAGAGTAGAGAAAAAAGTGAAGTCAAGTGAAAGTATGTTACTAAATTATATAATTCATTAACGTGCAACGATCAAAACGAATGCGAGCCGAGCAGAATGGAGCCGCAAAGTGAATAAGTGAATGTGGTAAGGTATAGTTTGTGTGTGTGTGTGTGTGTGTAGGGACAATCATTAATTTATAAAAAAATGATGTACTAATTCAGTAATATTTTCCACACAGACATATGCACAACAGAATTGTGAAGAAGAATATGGAAATGAAAAATCAATAAACTCTCAAATAACGTGCTTAAAAATATATTCAAATATCGTCTTGCGTATCCTAGTTTTCGAGACTTAATGTCTATGGCATTGCCTTTGTATGTATGCGTGGATTATGTGAATGCGGTTGTGTATGTGCGTTTGCGGGTGAGTTTACGCGTATAGCAATATTCCCGCTGACGTTCTCGCATATTGGGATAACAGGAAGCAAGCACAGAGTGGAGTTGCCGAACGTATGAACCAGCAAACCATCTACAGTGAGAAATGAAGAGGGCGAATATCAACAATGACGCCAGCTGACCGAGCGCACAACTAATTGTCCAACCGACCGAAGGGAGTACGAAGTAGGAAATAGAAAACAGCAGAAGTACTTCCCTAGGAAATGAGTTAGACTAATCATGCTATGAGAAACGAAACAAAAAAGAAACGATTGAAATAATAAACGATAGTGCTCTCACGCGCTGGATGCTACTGGTTATGGACATAAATATATATGGCTGTAGAATGTTGGGTACTCTCTATGAATTTACGTTTTTTTAGCCTAATTTCTTGTCTGTGTATATTCTTTTCAGTCAGTGCGTTTGTTTGTTTGTAGTGTGAATGAGTACGTGCCCGCGAAGCCAAAGTATGTGGTGCCACAAAAGTAAACCAAAGCTTCTTTCAGTAGATAAATATAGATAGAGTCTGCAACAAAACAACACATATATGTACATGTATATAAGTGAGACCAATGAAAGAACTCATGCCTTTTCATATTTATGTTATGTATGTGTACGTAAATAAAGTTTGCGTAAATGCCGTGGCATAAAATCTAAAAACAAAATTGGTGATTTGTAAACGCGAAGAAATTTATAATCAAGAACCAAGGGTACCTTGCAGAAACATGGATAAATTTGAAAACACCAAGAGGACAGCAGGGAATGTAAGCGAATATTAAAAAATTTAACAAGAACAAGTAAGAAAGGGCTAATTTCGGGAACAACTGAACATTTTATACTCTTGCAACTTTCAAGAATTAAAACCTTCACTTTAAGGTGTAACACCATTCATACAGCGTAAAGGCAGACGTTATGTTCGAATCCTGATATTAGTTATTTAGGGTTTCGGCCAAGCTTTCGCTCAAATTTATCTGTTGCAATGCCTTGGATATTAATCTCTGCTATATTTAGTCGTACTAATTTGTCAAATGAAAAAAATTTCTAAACAAATGCTTGATTCCGATCGTTCAGTTCGTATGACAGCTATATGCCACAGGGGTCTGATCTAAACAATTTCTTCGTAGATTGCTCTATAGTATCGGAGCTATATAATGTTTATTAAATTTAAGATTTATTAAAAAATGACGAAGAAATAGAAATATTGAAGTTAAGTTTCCAATGTCAAGATTAACTCTCTCATTTTCCGTCAAGTAATTCACATGGCGGAAATCACTATTGAAATTATATATATATATATTCACCTGGTCAGCTTATACACATACAAAACTTTTTATTATGAGGAACAAATTGAAAAAGAAACTTAAAAAAAAAAAAAA